TGTCAGCAGCTGTCTCATGCCTTGTTTTGGGTGGCATGTAGCATGGCAAGTTCTCAGCATTGACTGAACTGCACAGCACTTTTGAAAATATAAAGTAAAACAAATAGTAAAAAAATCAGTATTAGTACCTTAAGAAGAAAGGATGTAAGTGGATAACTTCCCTGTCCAAAACAGATTTAAGATGTGTAAGAACTGTTGTGGCTCTGACTAACTGTAAAACAAGGGCCATTACAGTTGAAACATCCATCCTTTTTTTTTGTAGTTGTTATCATGCTAAAAGCAGCTCCTAATTCAAAGAATGGAAGTATTGGAGCTTTCAGCACATCTCTAAATAGCTCATTTTGACAGATAATGATTTGCACTATTAAAAATATTGCCTCACACTGCTAATCTAAATCTATCCTACTTTTGCTGTCTAGCATGGGGTTGTCATTGTGCTTCTTTTGAACAGATTAGCAGGGATGTCTTGGGTATGAAGACAGTGATAAAGTGCCAAAGGAAGCCGCCTTTGGATTTTATTAATTTTATTYGGTATTTATGAAATGCATTCATACTTACTGGTTTACAAGGTGCTTGTCAGAYTCCCACTGTGCAAGTTTTTGTACAAAACCAGAATATGTCTCTGTCCTAATGGTGTTACCATCCAGAGAGCAGTTTGGGTGCTTCACTCTTCCCTGTTGTCAACCTTTTCCTCTGATTTTGCGCCATGGACAACCTCCTCTATAATTTTTTGTTTAAAATTTCCAAGTCTTTTTTGCTTCTGATTTCGGCTGTGACACCACTTTGGGGCATCCACTGTCTGCTGTGAGGGGAGACTGTGAGTCTGGACAGGAGAAAATGCAAGTGAAGAAGCAGAGGAGCCAGATCACATCCCTGGCAGTCTGAGGGAGTTCATGGCCTCTCAYTGGGCTACCCAATCTCTTCATCATGGCAGAGGTGTGTAACAAAGCAGCACTGCCAGTGGAGGGCCATTCCTCAYCAGCACCAGGGACACCATGGGGAAGGTGTGAAGACAAAAGACAGCAGAGATTGGCATCAAAAATTCATTTTAGGTGGGAATCAAAATCCCAACAATGGGTTTTTGAGCTCTTCCCTAATGAGTTTGCTGTCCTTCTGTCCAATGCCTCCCCGGCCCTCAAATCTCTTTGTTGTCATAGGAAAATGGTTTCACTCTTGCTTTTCTCTCTAGCTCAGCACTGGGCTCGCTTCCCAGAGAAAGTTTTTTAACTAATTTAAAAAAGAGATGTTTCCCCAYGAGACAACGAGGAGGCAGATGTGCTCTCTCGCGTGCCATGGCATGTCTGCTGGCACTGTTGTGCTCCAAGTCCAAGCTTGGTATGTCTACTAAAATAAATGGTGTCTCTCTCTTGAGACTGCTTGCCCTTGGAAACACTTTMTTCTTCCTTCTCAGAAAAAAGGGACAGTCACATAAAACACTAGAGTCTCAAAGAGGTCATGATAGGAGAATGGAGATCCAGCCTGGAAAAATATTTGGAGTAAAGAATGTTTTGAAAGACTAGGGTAGAGGGGTCAGGCACATGAGGAGATAGATTTTCTATTTGTAGCAAATCCAGTGTCAGTCGTGTGAACAGAGACAGGGCTGGAGAAACAGTGTGGGAAAGCAGACAGACAAGCCTGGCAGCTTCTTAATGGTTTGAGAGTTTGGATGCTGACATGATTTTCAGGTTTGTTTTGCAGGGAGGTATTTTTCCTTTTGAGACATTGTTCTTGGTGCTTCTGACCCTTGGAGAACAGGAAGACTGGTCATCCATGTCAGGTCAATTAAGATGGACGTAAACCTTTCATTCTCCTTTTCCCCTCTTCCTCCTCATATTTTGTCCTCATTTTATCACCTCAAGAGACTTCCCTCAGATTTCTCTCATCTTGTCACTTGACCTGTCACAACCCRCCTCCTGGGTTTCCTAACATTTGCATTTGTTTTCCTTCCAAACCTTTTCTTAGCACCCCAGATTTTCAGGAATGCAGATCCTCTTTAAGTCTACTTTGTGTCCAATATCTTCYTTTTCCTGCTGGTCAATACCATTTTCTGGATCCTTACCTCTTTTCTTGCCATTCCTTCTCTCCAACCTCTCTTAATTTCCCCCAATACMCTTTCTGTGCCTTGACAAACTCTGTCTATACAGTTTGTTGTCTGCCGGCTCTCTCCCACACATCTCCCACACATCTCTGAGACGTCAGCTTCCCTGAGGGGAAGTGGAAGTGTAGCCACCAATTTCTTCTCTGTGGTGACCAGCAACAGAACACAAAGGAATGGCYTGAAGTTGAGCCAGGGAAGGTTTAGGTTGGATATTAGAAAAAGTTTCTTCACCCAGAGGGTTGGGCACTGGAACAGGCTCCCCAGGGACGTGCCAGGGACACAGTGCCAAGCCTGGCAGAGTTCAAGAAGTGTTTGGAAGGCTCTCAGGCACAGGGTGTGACTCTGGGGGTGTCCTGTGCAGRGCTAGGAGCTGCACTCGATGATCCTTGTGTGTCCCTCCCAGCTCGGGATATTGTGTGATTCTATGATTACTTTTCTCATGTGTCCCTTTGGCCACATTRCTGCATCCTCCCTGGGCTCTCTCTGCTCCATCACATGAAACATTGGGTTCTTGCACTGTCACTCCTTGATGGGTTTGGAGCAGGCAGTCCCAGCTCCCACGAGGCCCCAGTGCTGCCACAGTTCATACTGACACCACCAGCTCACACTGCCCACTGCCAACCCAATGTGTATTTTGCCAGAGCCCTTTTGCTCACATCAACAGCCTTAGGCTGTTTTGGATCTGATATTAATACCCTTTTGGCATCAGTCCCTATAGACATCACTTCTATCACTGCCTATAGACATCAGTCCCTGTGATAAAAGCGTGTGGTAGAAGATAAGCTACTGCAGCACCGAGTCATTAAAACCTCTGGCCAGCTCCATCTCACTGTGTTTGAGTCCTCTGTCTGTGGTCCGTTGGCTGAGAGCATGATCTTCCCATGGCAGAGCAGTCCTTTGGTCTTTTTCTTTTCAGCATGGTGAGTGCCATAGCATGATGATAGCATTAGTCTCTTTAGTAATAATGATTTTAGCAAGAGAAAAAGATACACAGCTCTGTGTTCAAGGGTCACAACAGCTATCTTACRTTAGATGGAAACTGGAAAGGCACTTTACTTGGGCAGGAAATGGAACTGGCAGCAGTGGAGTGGAACTCCATGCTGGTTCTCAACTGATGATCCTCATGGGAGGTGAGAACCTGAAGCTTATGCTCTTCAGGCTGAATCAGGTTTATCTGTTTGCTGGTAAATACAGAGCAAAATTGGCAAATGGACCCCAGCCTCACACCCTGAAAGGAAAGAKCTGCTTAGATTTTCCCAAAAGCCCATAAGAACCCCTTGAGGCTCAGAAGACAACTTGGGGTTGTACATGTGATGAGACAGAAGTGCCACTATGAGGTTGATTTGCAGGTCCAGGAGAGAGGCAGGATGTTTCCTGGTGGAAATCACTGATCTGTTCAGCGTACTGGTGGCCACTGTCATGCACATCTTGAGATGTGCTCATGCTGCCTCATGCTGCCTTTTCGTTGGATTGGGACCATGCCCCTCCTGGGGTAATKTATGTCAGCCTTGGAGTGGGGTGTTTAAAGTCATTGTCTGACCTAGGTTTGCCTGAGTACCAGGGCTTACCATGCTTGTGAAAATATTTTCTTCTGCTGCCCAGGYAATTGCAAGTCTAAGGTTTAATTGCAAGCTAAGGTTTAGCTTCAGTTCTTGATTTTCCAGGAGGCTTTTACATCCAGGAAAATTAATTTTTATGTCTGTGCTTTCCTTTCCATCACCTTTCCTGAACATGACTAACTCTTTCTGTCAGGGCTGGGTGACTAGTCATCTGCCTGGCCCAAACCCAAGCCCACTTACTGCATTTCCTGTTGTTGCCCAGCCTWTCCAGAGTACCTCTGTCTCTCCTAGCTGATATCACCACACTAAGAGCTGTTGACGTATTTCCTTGTCTTGGTACTTCCAAAAGTCATCCCTGAGCAGARGAATGATAGTCATACAGTGYTGTCTATTTTTAGCCTTTTACAGACTCYTTCTCTGACCTTGGGTAGGCACTTTAACCACTTACTGCCCCACTTCATAATTGTCAGAATGGAGTATTCCTACCTTGTCTGCAAAGTATTTGTGGGATGGTAGCACTTGGGAGGTTTTGTTGTTTTTTTTTTTTTTGCTTGGAAATTGTGTTATAAAAGGGACTTGTGTCCTATTGGCATCCAGGACTTTTAAAGTTGTTGGCAACACAGCTGATCACATCTCACTTCTTGGGTGGGAAAATGCTACCTTTTCTTGACTCCCAGGTACTGCTCTGTAATCTCCAYCTCCACTGTTCTGAAAACATTAATTTTCCTGGTCACTGAAGGAATAGTGCTTTTACGCAGCAGTAGCCAAGGTATCATAGGCAGCTATTCATTGTATWGATGGTTACTCTGCTGAACATAAACTCAGAGGAGCAGCTTCTTTCCCTTTTTTTTGCCAGTTCCATAGAGCAAAATGTTCTGTGGTGGATTCCGATTAGGGGTGTATGAAGGTCTTCATCCTTCTCCCTGTTAATCTCTTCCAAGGGAGGGTCTCCCAAGGTGAGGTGATACTGGAGGGTATAGAGTGCACCGGGAGAGATGGGAGATGAATGCTTTTTCCAGGCATCCCAGCATGTGTCTGACAAAAATAATGACAGACACCCCAAAAAGGGGCAAAGGGGGCTCCCAGCAGCTCCCACCTCTCTTCTTCCTCTCCCTCTCCTTTGTCCAGGCTCACAGCTGGATAGGACAGCTAATACCTTCTTTGGGATGGTGAATCTGACTTTGCAGCATCCCCTCTGACAGCCCCAGGAACATTTCTGGCTGTGTCAGCCAAAATTCCTGCCGGGGACTGCTGCAATGCAGCACACCACACCCCGCCGGCGCTGAACCCCAGCCCGGACAGCCGGTGCTGCTCGGCTCCAGCCCTGCCGCTGCCATAGGCGTCCCTCCTCCTCCTCTTCCCGCCGAGCCCCGATGATTTCAGGTTGCTTGGCATCATCTCCCGCGGGCAGCTGGCGTCCGCAGCGTGTGTCAGAGCAGCCTGGCGCACGGTCGGTTTCTCAACGCGCTGCCTGCACAACGCGCTGGCTCCCCGAAGGGATCGGCTGTGGTTTCGTATTTCATTTCCCTCGCACGCTACACCCGAATTCCAGACGCTTTCTGGCTTCGCTGCTGCATGGACTCTGAGCGCAGGTCCTTTGCCGTACCCAGCGGAGGCAGACGGGGCTTCCCTCAGCTCCAGGGAGTGGACCATGAAGACGTCAATTGTATTTTTGCTTTGCATCTCAGTTTTCCCAGGCTTTTCCCAGGGCAGAGTCGTTAGAGAGGATGAAACTGGTTTTGCCGAGTGTAACGTGTTCTTCCCTGGACAAGTCCCACCCGAAGGATTTACGGAGCCGTTCCATGTGAAAATCTGTCAGCAGTACAACAAAGAGCCACGCTTCGCAACSCTTTACAGTACTAAGGACAAAATCCCTCTTTATTCAGCTTTTAAGTTTACAAAGCCAGCTCAAAGTGAGGAGGAGAACTGGCTGGTTGAACCTCAGGTAAGGCAGCTTTTACTTCGCTGTACAGCAACTGTTCCTGGAGAACATTTCTTCTGGGGTGAGGCTGGGGCTGGAATTTTGCAAAAGAATCAGGAACTCAGCTGGTTGAACTTTTATTGGTAGGAATTTAACATGAACAGAACAGAACTATTTTTGTGCTTGGAACTGAAGAAACAAATAGTTTTTTATCCCAGGGAGCTTACGATGAAAACTGGGAGTCTGCGCTGTGTGTGTGCAGTGCCAGGGGAGAGGAAAGCCCTCTCTGACACCAGGGATGTGTCTGTCCTGCCCAGCCAGCTCTCATGGGCAGGGAGCACTGCTGGTGGATTAAACATTGYAGTGTCAAGTTCAAGTTTGTTCTGTTGCCAGTGTGATCACAGTGTTGATAGGAGTTCTTTAGCTTCACTGAGCAGAGATAAAACATCCATTTGTGGTTCACCAAGTTGAKGCTGCAGCTTTTCAGTGTGTCCCTGTGTTGCAGACTGAGGTAGGAAATGAGTTGCTGTGTCCTGGGGCATGCAGGCTTCAGTCAGGTCAGAAATATGCAGCATAAAATGAATTTTGTCAGAGTCTCAGTGGTTTTCGTCTCACCTGACTCTTCGCATGTTTAAGCAAGGCCTTCAGGCTGTTTAATTTAAAAGGAAATTCTCAAAAAAATTGCTGGTGCCCTAAGAGAATTGTAGCTCCCCCCGAAGAGTTAGATTTTTCAGCAGTAATCATGAGGAATTTTGTAGCAACATCAAGCTACCACATCTGCTGAGCTCAGGGAAGATCGTCAGTGTGCTGCTTTGTTAGGGCAGGAGTGGCTGCAGGGTATTGGGAATGTGGCTCTCAGCCACTGGATGTTGCCACAACCAAAGCTCATCCCTCTGCCAGGACAATGCTGTCCTTATTTTTCTCATGTTGAGTGATGAGATACTAAGGCCATGAGACCATTGGCAGTGAAGACAGGAGATCCTACATGATTGTCTTCACCCTGGACTGTGTCCTTGCTCTCTGGGCTGAGTTTTGAGTTGCAGGAGTTCCTAAGGGCCTTTTGATCTGAGCTCCWTCCACTTCACAGGCAAGCTGTGGGAGCTTGCCCTTTTAAACAGAGGAAGCTTTAAAAAGGGTGGTGAATTTTTAAAGTGCAAAGGGGACCTTGGCTGTCAAGGATTTTTGGTCAGTGCCAGGGAGGCAGTGAGGTAGAGCGGCAGAGATATAGACCCTTTCCCATTTCCCTTGGCCACAGACACCCTTCATCACCTCTGGCCTCTGTATCTCCTGCTTTTTGTGTCCAACTCTCCCAGCATCTCCTGCCWAGGTAGGTTCAGAAGCTGTTCCTGCCATGGAGCAGTGGGCAGCCCCCTMCAGTAACTTTGGTTCTCCTGCACCTCCCTTTAGCTGGCTTCTCTTCCCTTTCTGCTCAATCCCTTTTCACCCCTCATCTTGTTTTTGTTCCTGCCAGCACTCCAGAGGCCCACACCTTGTGTAGCCTCAGAAATAATAGGGCAGGTGCCACCTTTAGTTGCTYTGGCTTCTCCAGAGCATCCTCACAGGCTGATGGTAGTTCTTGGTTGACACTGATGGGTCCCCTTCATCCACTGCTGAAATGCAGATGTCTCAAAACAGGAGGTAGCAGCTCTGCAGTTCACTGGAAGAACCTCTGAGACAGAAGAGTACTAGGAAAAAGAAAATCTGCAGAAGAATATGTCAGGGGAAGAAATCACGAATATGTAAAATTCCTGTAGCTCAAGAAGTAAGTACCTACAGGCCTCTCAGACGCTGCCACTGGGAGAAGAGCTTTCACACACGTTGTGTATGTTCTACCAAGGCTGGGTCTGATGGCTGCTGAAGGGARCCCTTATCAGCACCTGCTCTGCAGCATAGCCCAGGGAGCTCATATCTCCGATTTTCTGGGTGATTTCCTTGCCAAGACAGGGATAGCCAGGGACGAGCTGGCTCACCTGCACAGTGGCATGTGCACGCACAGGGAGATGCAGGGACACAGCAAACAGAAAGAAATCACTCTATAAACACTCTCAGCACTCCAGTGACTGCCTCAAGTTTGTCATACACGGGTTTTGGGATAATGATGTAAGTGGTGAGGGCACYGTCTCACTCCCTCCTCAGGAATGTCTGCCTGAGAAAAAAATGCCAAATCTAGAACAGAGGCAGTCATTGGGTGAGAAGTGTGAGGAATGTCAGTGCCACCCACTGCCGATTGGCAACTGGAAACAATGAATTAATTCAGCAATTAGTGAAAAATTASAGAGCAGGAAGGGTAGGATGATGAGCAGGTGCTGATGAGATTCCCCCAGGCGCAGGTCTGAAARCCTGCTCTGCCACAGATTTCCTAGGGGTTGAGAGCAAGTCACTTAGGTGTCTTTTACCTCATTCCATTTCGGTTGCCTGAAAATCTCTGTGTTGGATTCTCTCTGTAGCTTAGAGAGAGATGGAAAACTCTGGAGTTGCTTTTTCCGTCCTGATGTATGAGAGGCTGGATGAATTACCTTGTGTTTTCATCTGGTTGATGGATACCACCAGGCAGATGACCAAGGTGGGATTCTTGCCCAGCTCTAGCGCAGCTGCCTCCAAGCTGCTCTGGCAGTTTCTCTTGGTAGAGAATCAAGAGAACAGGGATTTCTAGAGCCTGACATGTGAACATCATACTACAAAAACCTCGGTGTAAGGTGCCTCCTCCCTGAGATATGAATCCCACATTAAGGTTGGATCAAACATTGCCACTTCAATCAAAGGTGTAAGGGTGCCTGAGGAAGTAGCAGTGGGAGAGGGATGCAGAAGTTCACCAGGGTGGAGATGGCAGGAGGTGGCAGTGTCCTGCATTGTTAAATGACCAAACTCAGTGGAAGCTGCCTGCCCTAAAAACTGTGTGCTACCATGCTTTTAATCMCCCTCTGCCTCTGTCCTGTCTGTGAAACTGCACCCTGCACTTCATGACGCAYATCAATATTGTTATGTGCTAACATCCATACAGGGATCAGGCACATAATTTATTTTTAAATCTCCATCCTGTGAATAAGGAGTTTACCTATCYGCTTGGATTTTGCCCTGAGCTGTTCCAGGCTATTAGGACAGGTGGATCCAGGGCTGACTCTATGAACACAGCTATGCTTTGGAGTGACACAAGCCAAAAGCTTTTTGAAGCAGGGAGGAAAGGTATCTTGCAATGCAGWTTAGATGCAGTGCTGAGTCAGCCTGCCTTTGGGACTGATCTGGAGGAGGCATGAAAACCTCAGGTATGCATTAATTATTACAAGCCATAATAGGAGTTATTATAAGCATAATTAGGTGATGTCAGTCAGAGCCTTACACATGAACAGTGGACTGCTGCATTTTTATCATGTTCTTTTTTGATTGCACCCAAACAATCCCATTGGTATGTGCAAAGGCCTGCACAGACAGACCAGGTAACCAGGGATGTATTTTCTTGATAGACTCCTCAAGGTTTGCATTCACCATCACATAAGGAGAGGAAAATTAAGTTTATACCACCTACTGCATGTAGTTTGGGAATCTCTGCCAGGAGGCAGAGCTGATCCACCTTAGGTCTGTGTCCTTGTGGTATGGCAGCACCCACCATGGGAGTGAGATGGGATTAGTRTTTCTGGGAGGGTGTAAAACTCGCAGGGGTCACAGCATAGGGAATAGTTCCTGGGCACAGCCTTGCACCTTTGCTCACTCTCCCTCACCTGTTCTGTGTGATTAAACAGACTGGGTGCATCCCTTGTCCCATGGCACACCATCATGAGTGGCAAGGGGAGGAAGAGACAGTAATTTTGTAGAATGCAGAATGTCTGGCCTCATCAGCCAGCTGCAGCCTGTTGTTTGGGGTGACTGAGCAAGACGARCAGAGTCAGGCAGTAGAAGTGCAGAATAGGTCTTTTTTAAGTGGCACAGTTAGAAAAAGCTGTGACTATGCATCAGCACAGGGGACTCACTGTGATCCTTGCAATCCTGAAGCAGTAAGGATCAGATGCTTCAAAAAAAAGAGTAAGAAAGCTCCTTAGCAGCGGTGGGGTAATGCAGCCCTCTGCAATAGCCAAGATTGGCACTGTGACCATGCTTGGTGCAGAGGGAGCTCTGCGCCTTGGCTGCAGGGGTTTGGCTGATGCAGCAGGCAAGCCAGAGCTCAGTTCCCAGTGAGGGTGATGGACAGCTGCTGACACTGGCTGACACTGGCCCTGTCACCCTGGCTCTCAGCACAGGCTGGTGCAAAACTCTGAGGAGGTGAGGATGCAAACTCTGTATAAGGCTGGATGTGTGTCCAAGTGCACTGYGGGATGGTCAGGAGACAAGGATGAATGACCTGGCAGTGATTCAAGGTAGACTAAGAACTGTCTGCCATACGTGTCTGCAAAGTGCATATTAGGGAGTGCAGTAAACAATCTATAGGCCAGGGGCAGAGTTAAAAGGTTGAATTGGGCCAGCACAGTACCTGAGTGCCACAGCCTCTGAAATAGAGACTACAGGAGGCAGTGACTGTCAGAGATTGTCTGTCAYCCCCCCAAGCTTCTACCAACATATTCACCCTCTAATTTGAGGAAAAAAATAACAATTTGGCACAGCCCTCTGGAGCGGCTGCAGGCAGTGGGTAGGACTGTGGAGCAGACAGAGTTGTGGTCACCTGAGAAAGACCTGAACACACCCTGACATTTGGTACTTCTCCTCCCACTGCTCTTCACCGCCTCTGCCCGCCCCTTCCCTGGTGCATGACTCCAGGACAAACTCCCGCTGCAGTAATTGCTACCTCTGGCTCCAGTGCATGGGAACCACAGACACAAGCAGGTGGCACAGATTCCATCGAGGACCTTTGGTGATGGCAGCCTCGCCCGTGTTATGACAGGAGCTGGGTGGTCATTAAGGATGAGGTTCAGACTGTTAATGACATGWGGATCACACCACTAATGATCAACCTTTCGAGAGCCTTAGGAGCTCAATGGTGTCTCCTGTTCAAGGCAGCGAAGTTCAGGTCATCTGACATGGTGTCTGGCTTCATTCTTGCCTCTTACACAATAGGTGGTGAGAGGTGAATGTTTTCTCTAGACATCTTATAGACCATGGCTTGTTTGTTTTTTTTCTTTCCCCACAGSTTGGATTTGATAGTTCAGAGGGACATAAGGTGCCATGATAGGTTCTTAAATCAACTGCAGGTGGGAGGTGAAAACATGGCCCTAAATCAAGGCATCTATTGTTCTTAAAAATCTCTTTTATGACAAAGCACARGTTAGAAGCTTGGTATAGGGTGACTGGTGAGATTTTTGAAGGCTATGCTGTGCTGTGGACCAGACTGGAAAGCTGCAAATATCCTTTGGAGCCTAAACCAATGTGTTTAGGCAGAGATGCTAAGTAGAGAATTCATCCTCTGAAGCACTTCAAGGAAGGTAAGGAGAGGGTGCAGGGTATACTCCAAGGCACAGCATGTATAAGTGGTCCTCGTGAAAAGTATACTTCAAGGCCTGTTTTACACATTGTTTTCTAGGAAGGTGAATTGCATGCAATAACGCTTCTCTCTACCTTTTCAGATAGATGATCCAGAAAATGACTTGCATGAAATGGTGCATGAAGCTGATATTGGTGGCACTGTGGCCAACCTTGGTGCAAATCAAGCCCTGACCTCAGACTACGTGGGCTCYGGCTATGAGAGAGGCTTACTCAATCCCAGCTTCCTTAATGAGGAGGATTTCCAGGTGGCCACTTACACGCTCACAAACGCCGTCCCTCTGAGCGCAGCTCTGAGCAAAAGCTGGCACAGAGACATTGGGAAGGTAGTGGAGCAAGCTCTGATCCCTCACTGCTCCAAGATGGATCATCTGTATCTCCTTGCAGGTGCAATTCCTTCCRGTGTCCAAGTTAAAGGCAAGGTGTCAGTGCCAGAGAGCCTCTGGTTGGCAGCCTGCTGTGATGCTCCAGAGGGATGGTCCCTGGGACTGGTGAAAAAAATTAAYGATGAAAACAGCTTGGCAGACCTCACGGTGAGGGAGCTGGAGAAGCAGCTTCTACCAGGAGTTCACTTGTTCACAGGCAGCTGTGGGGGAGACAAACAAAGCCAGGAGAAAAGAGAAGCAGTACTGCAAGCTGTCAGTCAGATCCGCTCTGGAGAGCAAGTAGGAACAAGTGACAACCAGGAGACCAAAGAGAGTGGCTGGGTGAGAAGAGTGGCTGGCATCATTGCTACCCCTTTCATCAAACTTCTGGAGCTCCTCATCTACATCTTTGTGGAGCTGGTGAAATTTGTGTTTTATTTTCTGTGGCTTATTGTAAAAAGAGTTGTTGGTACAGTTCTGGATGGGGTCTACAGCCTGTGGAATGGGATAGTGTCCTACCTTAAAGCCATCAGCATGGTGCTCATCAGCATCCCCTATGATGTTGGAAGGGTCATCATCAACATTTTCCTGGGCTTCCTGCAAATTGTTCAAGATGTGTTGTCCCTCACTTATAGGATCCTGAGCATCCCAGTGGGATTTGTTCTTCACCTTGCTGCTTTCCCGTACCACTCCATCTGTGCCATTCCCTCTGTCCTTAAAGACATGGCCACCGGGATCGGGGGCACCTTCTCGCTGGTCATTGATGCCACAGCCGCGGTTCTGCATGGCTTTTATTACCTGGCTGGCCACATTGTCAAGCGGTTTRTCCCTAAAGGCTCCTCTGATGACTGATAAGGACAGAAATCAAGGCTGCAATACACGGAGTGGGGCAATGCTTTAAGATATGTGGCCAAATGCTGTCAATTTCATTCTGGTATTTATTGYAGTGACATTAATAATAATGAACTGACTGGGGAATAACAAGGAGGGACAAGGCAATATCGCTCGGGGCTGCCACCAGTGTAACTCAAGTTCTGTCTGTTGTGAAATGTTTGGGTTTCATCTGTGCAGGCCACAAAGTTTCTGTGATTTGCAGGTGTCAAGATGCTTCCTCTKGGAAATGCACACTGAATGTGGTATGAGGTAATTTCTTTCTGGCTATGATGACRCTGAGACTTATGCAGTGGCAGTGAGCTCTGCAGAAGCCCAACCCTTCCAAGAAGCAGGCGGTGGTGGTCAGGGGAGGACTTTAATTACAGAGTGTTACTGGGACTTGATGAAAGAAGGAGATACAAGTGCAAGGATTTGGGGTTGTGAAACAGCAGGGAGCAGGGTGGAATAGGKGCAAGGTCCTGCTGTTGGCTGCATTGCTCATTGCTCTGGTGTCCCACTGGTGGAGGGGATGCAACTGGGTACATCTCACAGTCCTCAGGTCARTCTCTCTGATATTGCATGGATGTTGCTGCAAGGAAAGACCCACTGCCCATTTTTTTGCATGATGGGAAAACATTTCTCCTTAGCCATACCAAGGTCGCCTTCCCCCAACCCTTCCTTGCTATCTGGTGACTACTGAAAGTCTARGTCCTGAATCTTCAAAATGTGGTGTTCTCTGAAGGTCTAAGCCCATGGATGTCTTAGTCCTGCAGCCTTTGTTCTGCTCCAATGCCCAGCAGCATCTGGGAGTTGCACTTTTGGCTTCCAATCTACTGCTACCTGCCTTGCCTCCCTTGAGAGCTGACTGCTCCTGAAGCACGTGGGGACTGTGGACTGTCAGGTGGGAGGGGAGGCAAGAGGGATCCCAGGCTGCAGYGCTTGCTTTGCTGTGAAGACCCACCTGGTGAGCCCATGCACAGACAGACCACTTAATGTCAGAGGCAGAGCCAACCCCTCCTCTGCACTGCTCGTCCTCTCCGCTCACTCTCCACCCCTTCTTCCCTGTGCCAGCATGAGCCATGACCCTGACATCTGGGACACTGAAGCTGGGGCACACCTCAGAGCTTTGCAGGGGTTTGCAGCCAGATGAGGGGCACAGAGACATGTGTCACTGTTGGAGAAAGGCACAGGGGTGCTGCCCTTCCCTGGGGCTTGGCTCAGCGAGGGCCTTTGGATCTCTTGGTGCAATTGCCTGCAGGAGGGAGGCTTTCTGTCACAGCAGCATTTACTTTGCTGGACCCCAAGAGGTATTTGGGAGTCCTACACAYGTGGCTCCTTCCCTTCACACCCATCTGTGTCTCTCCTTCGAGCACCCTGATCTGCTATAGCATCCCATAATGAGTCCCAGGAGTGAGCRAGCTGGTGCTGCCATCTCAGTGGTGCTGTGTTGGTGGAGGCYTGTCCTGGATTGAAGAAAGCTCAGTTACTAACGTGGCAGCTTTGCCTCTCTGCATCACATTGCCTGCAGCAAGACTGAGCTGGGATGGAGTGATTCAGAGGGAAAATGAGATTTAGCTGGTTCAGGATGAGAGTTGTTTCTGTGGCTCACAGGCTGTGTTCAGTGCAGTCAGACATGTGTGCACATCCCAGCCCAGCACAGCCTGGCCAGGTGACACYCCGTTCAGCAGTGATGCAGATGGCAAAGTTGGGGATGCTGGCAGTGGGGATGAAGTGGGGAAGCAGTGGCATGAGTGGGAAGAGAGGATGACTCCTTGTCTTGTCCTTTGTGAGCCACTGCTGGTTTATGGAGAAAGAGAGGCTGTCTGCCAGCAGCTCTGGCTCTGTGCAAAAGGAAAGGCAGCTTTTGTGTGCCTGTGTGGGTATAACTGGGCAAAGTCAGGGTGTTTTTCTATAGGAATGYTGGGTGCAAGGGGCACAGTCACAGGCAGAGAGCAGCCAGCAGATGCTCTCCAGACTGATCTTTGCATGTCTGCCCACTGTGTCTGAACACTCCCAGTTTGCTGTTGAGACAGATGTGGAGCTGCTTTCCCACTCCTTGACGAGACCCTGTCTCAATCCCAGCACTCCTTTTGGGCTGCATGGCAGCTGTCAAGGCAGGARAGCAGCCCCCTCAAGTCCCAGGAGATGCTGGTGTGGGGTGACAGGGCCCCAGTCTCAGGCCCCTCTGAAGGCTGTGTGGTGGCAGCAGCTCTCAAGTGCAGCCCAAGCGCTGGGGAGGAGGGGGAGCTGTCCCCCACAGTTGTTTTGCACCATCTGTGTGGCCTTATCTGTGATCCCTCTTAGCTGTGTGACACTGCACAGCAGCCAGCAATGCACTTCTTGGGGGCTTTGTGGGAATCCAGAGCAGCTTCCCTGCACCCAAACTAAGCAGCTCCTGCATCCCAGGTCCACCAGCATCTCCAGTGCAGCTCTGCAGTCACAGTGACATGGGAGCTCATGTGCTGGGAAGCAGCAAAGCAGAGGCACCTCAGGAGCTGTGCACTGCCACTTTGCCACCACTGTCACTACCCCACCTAGCTCAGGTTAGGCTAGCAGGTCTCTGCTGCAGCCACCACTGCAAGTGGACAGTCCTTGAAATCCGAGGTGCTGCAGCTCTATAGCACGTGGGCAGATGTGCAACAGTATTTCAAAATTGTCTTAACACRCTCAGATTTCAAACACTAAGAGCAGTAACTGGCACGGGGCATTTTCCTTCTGYGCTGCGTGTCTGAGCAGGCAGTGGGAAATCTGCCTTGAACATCGAGCAATTATCACAGAACAAGCAACATCCTGCTACAAACYATTGTCTGAGATTCTTCTTATCTAGGCATGATTTATGGCTCCTGAGCTTTACTCTATCCTTGGAAACATATGGCTTCAACAAAATAAAACAATTTTTCCAAAGAGAGGCTGGTATCACTTTCTGTCGCATTTGCAAATGAGATAATATGACCTAGGCTGCCCTGACTAATCAAGAAAATGCCAGCAGCAYGGTTGTTCTTTCTAACAGCTTGGTATCTGATATTAATGACCCTTTTGTGCTTTTTAAACACCTTTAAACACCTCTCTCAAAGCACTCTAAGACTCAAATAATTAAGCTGCAAAAGAAGTAGGTAAAAGCTGGGGGGTTGCAGGAAGCAAATTTGGTTCTGTGTGTGTCAGGAGAGGGGAYTGTTTTATTCCAGGGAGATGCAGTGAGATGCACTCGGGGTACAGCATGATGGCCAGTTTTTATACAGAAATCACAGCACAGCAGCACAGCTCTTTGCAGCTGACTCCCTCTTGTGCAATGGACAAGTGCAAGGGACAAGTGCAAGGGACAAGTGCAAGGGACAAACTCCCTCTTGTGCAATGCCAGTCCCTGGACTGGCTTCATCACAACTTCTTTAGAAGGAGAAGAAGCGCTCCTCAAAAGGGATCATTTTCCTCCACTGAAAGTGTAGAGATGCTGTGATGAGTAAACCAGATGCTGGCATCCGTATTTTGCAGGTTATCTTTGGGCAAATGAACCCCTGCAGCTGAGTGTGCATCTGTCTAAGTCTGCAGGAACTGGTGAGGCACTGCTACAGGTTGCCTGGAGAAGCTGTGGGTGCCCCATCATTGGAAATGGCCAAGGTCAAATTGTCAGGTTGGATAGGGCTTTGATCAATGTGGTCTAGTCTAAGGTGTCCCTGCCTTAACCAGGTCATCCAAAGCTTCAATGCAGGGGTTTCTGCACCTCAAGGTGAACCTTGTCTGTGCTGCATCCACCGTGGGGCTGAGCAGAGGGGCTCAGTGGCCCTGGCAGGACARCCCCTCAAACTCAGGCCCTCTGGGTCACACCTCTGCTGCCATTGCACGTGTTGGAGATGCTCACTTTGTGTGGAACTCCATCAGCAGCACCGTCCCACCCTCTGATCAGGGAGCTGCTCCTGTTYGGCAGGGAATCGAGCCATGCTTGCTCACAGGTTATCTCTCATCACAGTCAGAGCCAGAAAATGGAAAAGGTATTGGAAAATAAATACCAGTGTAACTCGTTTGGCTGGAGGGATTGTCTGGGAGCAAAGGAGTGTGAGGTGTGTCCAGGGTGTGTGTATTAGTGAGGTTGCAATACTGTGGGTTTGGCAAGGGATGATTTCTCTGTGCTGCAGTCTCCCTGTGCTGTTGGGCTGTTRGACTTAACTCGGGTGGATCTCACACTGGGTAACATCTGCTATTGATTTCCACAGAACTGGGGTTTCCAGCCAGGCAGAAACGCCTAAAGACTTTCCAGTGGTGTTAGTGTTACAACTGTTTGGAAAATCTCCAAGGAATTATATTCTGTCAGAATGGGGTGATTTATCATACAGRGTTCTTTCCATGGAAATTCACCATTTTTAGTGGAAAATGTTTTTCAGGTCCACKTTGGAACAAGGACAGGAAACATCCAAGAGCAGCCCAGGGTCTGGATTAGCAGTTTGGGTGTGGGCATAGAGCACCCACTCCTGCCTAACAGCAGGTTTGGCTCTCTCCATCACAGAGGCATATCCCTCAGTCATGGCCCATCTTAGCATATGTGTCATTCTCTTCCATTTGTAATGGTGAAAAAACCCAGCCTCCTTTCCAAAAATACTGAAATTGTGACAATATTCCTGGGAGGTAAAAGCCATTTTCTACTGAGCCAGCAGCAAAGTTGCCTGCAAAACTAAAGCAGAGGCTTCAAATTCCTTTGCAGTATCATCTTGATTAATGAGTYGATGTTTCAAGCTAATTTAACATGGTGAAAAGTGGACATCTGGAGCAGATGTCATTGTGTGACTTTCCCCCAGTACCTGCTGGCAGAAGATGGTTATGGACCAATGCCAAGAGCTGCAGCAGGTGGGCACGACTGTGCTGTTGGGCAGGGGAGGAAATGTGGGAGARGAACATCAGACTAGGTRTAAGGAAGAAATTTCTTTTAAAATGAGGGTAAATTACAATGAGTAGAACCCTGGTACAGGTTRTCCAGAGAGRYAGTAGGTGCCCCAGCCCTGGAAACATTCAGGGCTGGGCTGGATGGGACTCTGAGCAACCTGATCTGGTTGAAGATGTCCCAGGTTGAATTATGTGGCCTTCAAAGTCCCTTTGAACCCAACCATTCTATGATTTTGTGAGATTAAGTGGCCAGTAGATCAACAGTGAACAGTAAGGGCTGAGAAATGGCCTTTGCTTGGTCCTGMCACCAAAAAGCTGCTCAGATGAGTGAAGCAGCTCCAGAGGGATGATACAATAGTCTCCCGGAGACATCTTTCTCTGGATTGGTGCCATCTAAATGCAGACATGTAAAATTTCTTCTCTGCAAGCACGGGAGTCCCTGTGTTCAGTATAAAAATCTCACCTGGCCTTCACCYGGGCACCTGAGCTGGATGCCTAAAGCTGGGGTTGGTGGCTGATGGGGCTTGTTCCACTGATGAACACCTTGAGGTGTCCACTGGCATGGTTCACCCTGATGATGGTACCAGTGGGATGCACTTTCCCACAGCCCCTTGGAAAGTTCTCGAGTCACTAAATCCTTCCATGCAGGTGGGATTGATAGCAGGGTCTGATGCCTCCCGATTCTGCTGGAAACGACCCGCAGTGCTCGCAGCCACATTTGGGTTGCGGGCTTTGTGTGGCCCTGGTGAAGGAGGTGGGATTGGGATTTATCACTGTGTGCACCTCAGCCACACGGCTTGGCCTGAGCTGGGAGGAATGAGTCCAACCCCCAAAAGAACTCAGCACACAATTTTTTGAGTTAATGGAAAACATACATTTGCAGGGTGGCTGAGTTCACCTCTCACCCTCAGGCATCTGCAGGAGGTAACTGTACACCTTTGCACTGGAGGTGACAACCTGGACTCAAAAACAGCACTGCACTCTGCAAAAATGAGWGTCTGATGTGGGGCCAGGGGCTGCTTTCCCAAGGATCTGTGAGGGCACAGAGCCCATGGCTGCAGAACAGGCTTGAATGGTCACAGCGGCTGTCCTGGTGTCAGAGRAGAGCAAACCTGAGGCTCATCACCCCACCAGTGAGGGATAACACCTCAGATGGTATCACTAAGGTTAGAAGAGACCTCTAAAATCACTGAGTCCAACCATGGACACAGCACTGCYGAATGTACCACTAACTCATATCCCCAACTTCCAGGGATGGTGATTCACCAATTCCCTGAGCAGTCTGCTCCAATTCCTGACCATCCTTTGAGTAATCAGATTATTTTTTAATCATCTCCAATCTAAACCTCCCCYGGTGCAACCTGGGGCCATTTCCTCCTGTCCTGTAAACATGCTGCTGGGGAGAAGAGACAGCACCTGGCTACAGTCTCCTTTCACACATCATCGAGGACAAGAGAACAGGCTCTCAGGCTCCAGTGACAAAGGATTTGTCCATCCTCAGATCCTGCTTCAGATCATGCCCCCATTCCCARTCTAATTCAAAGTCTCACTGTGTCTCCATCCCCCATTCCAGCTGTGAGGAGATGCAGGTTTGACGCTGAGGTCATTCCCACGGGTTCTATTGGTGCTGCTGGGACTCCTGTGGACACAGCACRGAGGATTTGCACCTCTGCATATGTGGGGATTTGCACTCAAGTCTAATATTAGAGCTGGTAATGATGCCTTCAACTGAGCTGCTCCTGTTCCTGTTTTTCCACCAAAAAAAAAATGTATTTTTGTTGTTCTGTTTTTCCACCAGGAATAAAAAATGAAAGAAAAGCCTGGGGGTCAGCTGCATCCCAACAGTGTTCCTCTGATGTGGAGAGTGGAGATGGRTCAGTCCCCCAGGAGATGATGCAGGGCAGATGTCACCCTCTGGTGGAGTCTCTGCCTCTCTCCACGGTCGCAGAGAAAGCCCAGAGAGATTAGCTAGGTGATTTCGCAAGGCAAATTCAACTCCTGTATTCAGGCAGCATCTCCTCGCCAGCCCAGCCCTTCTGGTGCTTTCAGAGACACTGGGACACAGATCAGCTCTCCGATGGGGAGGTGGTCTGGGCTGAAGCTAAGCCCTCCTCCATGGGGCTGCACAATAGCAGCAAACTGCTGGGGAACTCCTTCCTGGGCAAATCAAAAGTGAGTGTTGCAGGTCACCACTACTAAAACGCTTCTGTTTTGGCTGAAATCACATGTTTTGTTGCATTTTCTGTATCTAGTTTTTGGCAATGTTTTAGTGCCTGGGTATGTTGATACTCTAAACACCAGCCTCAAGCAGGAGAAGGAGGAGAAGGAGAAGGAGAAGGAGGAGAAGGAAAGCTTCCCTTCTGCAAAAGCACTTTTGAAAAGAAACATTCCAGTTTTGCTCCAAGGGCCTAAAAAAAGCCTGAGGAAAAAAAACAAAAAAACCACACATATGGAAGACGTGAAGGATTATAATTTAGCAGTGAAATACAAACGCAGTGATCACCTTCCTTTATATATTGAAAAGCTTACAAAAAAATCAATGGTATTTGCATGAGCTCATTAGATGATGAATGATGTTATGTGTAACACATGCCCCTGGCAGTGCCACACCACCCTGCCGGCCACCCTGCCCTGCTCGTGGCTACTGATGGTCATGGGGCACACCAGGGTGTCCCCCTGTGCTCCCTGAGGAGGGGAGGGACCTGCTGGAGCTTGGCGTCTCCACCAGGAAAGTGTTGCCCATGCAGGGCTGCCTACCCCGATCCCAGCCACTGCCCTTTCCCAGATCCCAGGGGCATTCCACAGCGGTCACCCCGGGGCTGCAGAGACTGTCCCTCAGCCCCTCGGGTGGGCACATGAGCATCCCTGTGACACGTTCCCCAGGCTGCCACTGGGCTTTGATAGCGGTGCAGGCGCAGGAGGCCGGGAGTAGATGGCAGCAGAGCCATGGAGCCCGGGAGGATGGTCAAGGAGAAGGTTTTGGGGAATCCCCGACATACAGATGTTTTGGGCTTTGGGTTTCCTGTGGAAAACCGGCTGGAGAGGAGAGGATGTGGGAGCCTGTCCTGTGCCTGTGCTGGGTACCCCCAAGGGAGCGATTCACACTGGGKGAGGGAACACAGCCAAAATCAGGGCAGAGCTCACTCGAGGATGGTACTGTCCTGCCCTGCTGCTCACCCATCCTCTGGGACTTCTAGGGACTGAAGCAGGAATTCCACAGCAGCTCTTGGCCTTGAGGAATAGTGCAGGATTTTTATGTTTTTCACGATGGTGCTGGCGATGCGATCACCCTCCCAGTCCCGAGCTGCTCTGCCACCTGGGGGTAACAGCTGCAGCACCTGTCAGGGAACAAGAAGTCCTGCCTGGACCTAAGATGCCAGATATTTTCAATGTTTTGGAACTCTCCCTGAAAGCAAATAAATAAGATATATATATATATATATATATATGTACAGGTATTTATACACAAACACATATTTATTTTATTGTGATGAATACATTCTGCAGCTGGAGGTAAAATTACACCAGGAACACCCCAGGTGTGCAGCTTGCATTAACTGGCTCTGTCTTTCTGAGGGGAAATGAGCATCTTCCCCAGGACAAACTGCCCTGGTGATGCTTCTAAGTCACCCTGCCCTGGGGCTGGAGGGGACCGAGGGCAGCACTGGGGGACCTRGGGGCAATTTGACTGTGAGAAAAGTCTGGCACTGCCCTGAAACCAGCACCCTCAGCACACATTTCCTCTTGCCTTCACTTTTCCTTCCTGGTTTTATGGCTCTCACCCACTTCTGCTCTGGGCTTTGCCCAGGTCTCCCTGGAAGAGGGATTAAATAATCTCTGTATTAAATAACACAGAGATTAAAACCCACTACAAAGGCATGGACGGGAAGGAYACTTCAAGGACTGGATTTTGTTCCAAAACACAGGATGTTCTGCTCCAGAGATGTGTTCCCCAGCATGTGGCWAATGATGGCTCAAACAGGAGACAAGTTTTATCCATTTTATTTAACCAATGAAATTCCTACTGATAACAATGAAAGTAATTTCAGCAAGTATAAATGCGATACAGTTTTAAACAAACCCCATTGTTCCGTACCTATAAATAGATTTTTCAAAACCTCATAAAAAGTGCAGATTTATGAATTGCTGTTAAAATGTTAATACATGATTCCTTTGTTTAAAAATGCGTTTTTGTCTCTTAACTCACAAAAAAAAGAGAAAGTTCCTTCTGCATCTGTTCAGATAAATTCAAGTCGGGTAACTTAAAAACTAACAAAACTCACACAAAAAAAAAAATCCATCCCACTAGGTCAGTCTGTCCTTTGCAAAAAAACAAAACAAAACAACAAACCCAACCAGCAACAATAGGAAAAAAATTATAAAAGCTGCAGTGGGTACCCACAGAGAGCTCCTTGCAGCTGCCTCACCTTGTGGGCAAGCCTCCCATGAAAGAGCCTGTGGCCTGTCCCTGGAGCTCAGGGCAGGAGGTGACCTGGGAGGCGGGACAGGCGATGTGCCACCTGTCCCCAGGATGCTGCAGGGACTGTGGGACCCACAGAGCTACCACGCTTCCTCACTTCCTGGTGCTGGGAAGGAGCTGCAGGATCACAGCTTTGTCCTTAACCCTCCATCCCGAAACACTGCGTGGCCTTGGCAGAAGGAGGCAAGAAGCTGAGAGCTGCTGGGCTGGGTGCAATTCACCCTCTGTCCAGAGGGTCAGAGGTGGGAGMTGCAATCAAAGGCCCCTCCCTGGGYATGACACTGCCTGCTGCCCCAGCCAAGGGGCTCAGACCCACGGCTGCCAATGGGGAGCCAGTGCTGCTTCTTAACCCGACGTGCTGGGCACTGCAGTCAGCAAATCAAGGGCTAATTTTTGCACTCGAGAGAGGCTTGGAAGCTTTTTGGCTGCAGGAGTGCTGTGACCATGTTTGTGGTCCAGCAGCTGCTCTGTCCATCCCTCTCGCGGCAGCAAGGCTCACACCTGCCCTGTGCATTGGTGGGCAGAGTGTGGAGGCAGCCAGCAGCAGGCTGAGGGGCACAGGGGGCTGAAATGGGTGCCAGGCCCCTGCCTTTGCYGTGTTTGGGTCCATGTGGTCAAACGCAGAGCGGCCGTGCGGCTCGGACCGTGCTTGTCACAGAGAGGGGCACAGCTCACCCACAGTCAAGAGAGCTGAGCTGGTGCTTCTCCCTGTATCTACAGTGGTATTTTATCTACAGCAGGGTCTGTTTAGCAAGAGCAGTTTAAAGTGGCTATGTTCATCAAGTTTGCTACTTTATGAATTAAAAAAAAAAAACAAACCAAAATAACAAAACAAAAAAAACCAAACCCCAACATCTATAAATACAAAGACTCTCACACACCAGACACTTGCAGCCTGCATGACTCATAAACGGCATCAATATTCTGTTAAAAAGCTTATTCTACTCAGAACTATACATAGTACAAGAGACCGAAAAGTGGCAGTCATGTATGGGCAAGCTACCTGCCCCAGGGTGGCCCACAGTCAGGTGCTTCCTAAAAAATCAAGGAGTTACAGTAACATGGCACAGGACTGCAAAGCCGATCACAGCTTCTGCTTACACTGCATACGAAGTACCAAGGGGAACACAAAAAAGAACTGGTGTTAATACTGATGGATTAAAGGGTAACTATAAAGATCAAAACAGACGTTCACAGCATGCTACATATATTGCTCACAAATTTTTCTTTTTTTTTTTAAAAAAAAAAAGGCTAGTACAAAACAAGGAGTTGGCAGTCTGATTTTCAGTTATGTTGGATAGAAAGATAAAGCATATACATTCATCGTGTGGCTTTCCAGCAAAAGGAGAAAAGGGTAAAACCGAGAGATTTCAAGTTTACAAAATTCCTACTTTTTTAAGCTACAGTTTATATCCAGTTCTGGTCACAGTCATGAAAAGACAAATGACTTTGTTGCYTTGCAGAGTCCACGGGCTGTAGCCTAAATATTATTGTTTTCCCCTTAAAAGTGGCCACATCACCCACCACCATGAGCGGGCTGCTCCTGCAGCCACTTGGGCRCCAGGCAGGCTGGAGGGAAGAGGTTTGGGTCTGGTGGCACGACATGAGCATGAAGTGAGGAATGAGACGCAGTTTTGGACTGTTGGTGTTTGGACCTGCTGCTGTCACTGCCCCCCAGGCTCCTCAGCTGGAGACACAACGCTTAGTGATTCACCYCTTTTGCCTGAAAACTCCACCCCAAAGGGGCTGATGGGGGCGCGAAAATGCAATTCAACAGCAGCAAGTTTGTGTTGGGCAGAACCATTCCCTTCCCCTGCTTCATCTCTGGAGTAAGGAAAGGGTCTCTGCTCTTTTCCCAAAGAAGCCCTCTGGACACCTTGGAAGGGAGCATCTTCCACCACCTCCCCTATCCACAGGCATGCAGAAGGACCTCTCGGACACATCAGTGAAGTTTCTTCAACTGACCAATACCTCAACTCCTCCTGCGCTGGCCATGTCCCCTTGGGAGCACCTGTGGTCTGCACCTCCCAATGCYGACAGCATGGCTTGCTCTCTACCATTCCTACAACAATTGGCACCTCCAGTACCTCTAACTACTGTCAGGGACAAGGTTTGTATTTTCCACAAGCCCTGATGATACTCAGTACCTGTAGGAACACCGAACTCCACCTCTGTCTCCAGCAGCCCCTCCACAACATGCATTTGATTTTTTTTCCCATAGATAAATGAAAAACCCAAATCCACTTGTTCTCGAGGCTGGATGCATCTGAGAGGCTGCCCTGTAAGCCTGCTTGGCACAAGGGGACCTCAAATCCCCTGTTAGATATCCCTCTGAGAAACAGGCACAGCTGAAYAGCTCAAGCATGGAGTTTCACCAAAGAAAGCATTTCTTTAGTGGATCCACTGGATTTTTACTGCAACTCCAGAGATGGGCTTTGACACACTACTGGCAAATGCTAGCTAAATAAAAGCAAATACTGAATTACATCATTTTGAACCACATTTAGAAGTTTCCTGTCCAGAAATAACCTACCACGGCAATTAAGTGTTTCTAAACGTGAGAAAGAGCCTCTGCAGTTAACAAACAGTGATAGAGGAACCTTGTTTTCAAGGCTAAGGCTGGGAGGTTGTCCCTGCATGGATGCGTGGCTTTGGGAAGACAGGAAGCACTTGATGCAGGACAGGGGTGGTGGCAGGTTGGAAAATGACAATTTTTCCCCTAATGAGCAGCAAAGGATTAAACGTCTGCAAGAGAGACCTGATGTGTATTGGGGGAGCAGCAGCACGACCACCTGCCAGGAAATGTGCTATAAGGAATAATTAACACTGATCAAGATGCTCCTAAAGTTTCCTCATACTACTGTGCTCTGCTCTCTCCATCTCCCACACCTCTAATCTATTCAGTAGGTATGAAATACTAAATTAATTTTAATTTGGAGATAAAATGTTTCACTTACAATTCCCAAATATAGGAAAGCTGGTGGACACATCTCTTCAGACAAACATAGTGCTGGGGGACATAAGGAACAGTTAATCTGAAGTTCAGGTAATGAAAACTTTTTGTCCAACTCTTGGAATGATCACTAACAGCAAACTAATTCTKACAGCTTTATAGTCAGATCTGCTCTCGGAAGGTTCATTTACAAYAAACCCACTTCTCTCTTCCTCTATTTTGTGCAACATCACCCCTTATTTATGGGAGAAGGATCCCAGCATCTACAGAAAATAACTGAAAGAACATCACTTAAGATCAAGAAGATTTGGCATATTTCTTTTGAGCCAAGAATTTTTAGTTCAGGCACATGCTACCCTCTTACTACACCAATGAATGTTTTCTGCAAATAGAGGTTAAATAATCCAGCTCTTCTGAAAGGGAGTCCAAATTTTGGATCATGAGCCTGAAATGCATGCCTAGGTTCATGGAAAACACACATGCATGAAAAACATCGAGAACCTGTTCTGCAAGAGCAGTGGCTTACAGTTTAACTGCTTTGGGACAGATTTCTCCAAGCTACATCAAGTCCCCAAAACAACCCATTTCATTAGCAATCACTGTGAATCACATGGATCTGGTACACATTATTCCTTTAGTCTCTATGGAAATTAATTTTATTCTATTTTATTTAGGTGACTCAGTTTTTAAAAAAATCTAACTCAAAAATACAAGTGGGCACCTTCTAGGATTTTGCCGAGTGCCTGGGTGCTTAAATTCYTATTGAAGTTTATGCAGCTAGCTGCTTTTTCCAAATCACATGAAAATATCTATCACATCACTGAAAAAAAACCACACTTGAAAAATCTGGTGCTTTGACTTTCTGCAYTCAAGTAACAGAGCAGCAAAATGTTTGCCTTTTTGTTCTCTTCTRATCTGTTCTAAATTTATAGAATTACAATTGTTTAAAAGCACTGATTTTCCTGTCCTTAAAGCTTTTTTTTAATACATAGAAAAAGGTGATCGTGGCAATTCTTTAACCCTTAGAGGTGAAAGTACATCCTTTTCAAGGATCAAGGTGTCACTCAAGGGAGGGGATTGTCCTGCTGTGCTCTGACCTGGGGCGGCCTCACCTCGAGTCCTTTGTACAGTTTTGGGCACCACAATGTAAGAAAGATACTAAACTATTAGAGCGTGTCCAAAGGAGGGCAACAAAGATGGTGAAGGGTCTAGAGGGGAAGCTGCAAGAGGAGAGGATGAAACCACTTCGTGTGTTCAGCCTGGAGGAGACTGMGGGGAGACCTCATAGCTCTCTACAATTTCCTTGTGGGGAGAAGAGGCGGGGCAGGCACTGATCTCTTCTCTTTGGTAACCGGTGAGAGGACTCAAGGCAATGGCCTGAAGTTGTGTCATGGGAGGTTTAGGTTGGATATCAGGAAAAGTTTCTTCACCCAGAGGGTGGTTGGGCACTGGAAAGTCTCCCCAGGGAAGTGGTTGCAGCACTAAGCCTGACAGAAGTGTTTGGACAATGCTCTCAGCCWCATGGTGTGATTCTTGGGGTGTCCTGTGCAGGGCCAGGAGCTGGATTTGATGATTCTTGTGGGCCCCTCCAACTCAGCAAATTSTGTGATTCTGTGATTTTAATTTCAATGAAAACTTTAGGACAAAAGATATATATCTCAATTCTGCCTTGACAAAAATAAATCCATCTACAGCTCATCAAAATTCTCATAGGACACCACAGCAGTAGCTGTAGTAGCTGTCTGCACAAACTGCACCCAAGTTTAAAATTATTATTTCTGTTTTAAAAATTATTTCTGTTCTTATATGATGACACGCTCATGAAGTTCAGCTGTGGGTAGAGTGTTCTGGAAAATGCAAATGCTTYCTCCAGTTGGCACCTTTTTCACTTCTCTTCATTACCAAAAAAAATGGAGCAGTCTCAGCAAGGACATACTCTATCACAACACACATTTTAAGTGACTYTGCAATGATAAGAAGCTGTTCATGCTCTGTTCCCTACTCACAGTGTTCCCTGTGCTAGCTGGTTAATTTGTACCTACCAAGATTTCTCTTCAGTAGACAGAAGACTGCATGCTTTGTTTTCACCTTGGTCACGGCTGGGATTTTGTAGACTAACATGAATGCTGGTAATTACCAATCCCAATAAAGGAACACAGAGGGAGAGGATCTACACATCCAGTGACTATGGTASTCTTAAGGAAAAGATTAATGAACAAAGTGTGAGGATTCACATTCATGAGTGCTTTAAAAATGCAAAAAAGTCCAAGAACATTTGCACATTAAAATTTGGCACAGTGTGAACCTAAAGCATGCATAAAGTGTATGGTAGCACTGTCTGACTTTAAAGACCTATTCTGAACAAACGTCTATTAAAATCACAAATTTGTGTATAAAAACTAGGCTATAAATTGTTGCACTGTAAATGCAATACTTTGAAAAAAAATGCCACGTGGAAAACATTTCCAGATGTTTCAAGTTTGCATTTAATATTAAAGGAAAAAAAAAAAGAGAAATAGCAAACTAGTTGTACAATGACATTTCCTGTGATGGAATGTCTTGCAGGCCATATGGGACTTGATATGGCACTTTAAAAAATGAAAACAAAACACTGGTTTACTACAAGTTTTATGAAGAAATCCATTTATGGTTTCTTTATTTCAAATCTGCTCATGTACTTCGCTCACGAAGGCATTTGAGCTGGCAAGTATATTTCATAAGGAAAGAARTAAAGGCACTCATGTTTCCAAATGTAAAACTCAACCTACTCCAGAAGTCTTTGYATTTCTGAGGGGAAACAAAGCCATCATATTAGTTCCCCAAATCTAGTTTTACCTCCTTGCCAGAGCTCAACTGTGCTTCTTGAGAATTACTTGACTTCAATGCAAAGAAATTTAAAGTAGTACTGAACAGTTCCTATCACTTGAAAACAGCAAAAGTATTGCATGAAAACTTCTCTCAGCAGAACTGTTTTATGCACAAAAGCCATTTGGTATGGCCACTACAATCACAAGAGGGGGAAAAAGGATCATAACAACTTAGAAAGTAAATCTAAGTTTACACATATGAGCATCTCAATATTCTGAGAAATCTTTGCAGTTAGCTGTACAAGATAAATAAATCTGATGTTCTACTCAATGGTCTCTTTAGAAGACAGACCAGTGCTGTCTGTTGGATAGTTTTCTAAATAGCCAACATGGCATTTAAAAAAATAATTACTGATTTCTTCCTCAAAAGGTTTTCACATGCAGAGTCTGCGGTCTGAAAGTGCAGAAAAATGTACAATCATTGGGCTTTCCAGCCTGGAACAGACAGATAAAGCAGAGAAACCAACATGCAAAGTCACGGCAAGGATCAGGAAAAGGGAAGAAAAGAGAAAACTAACTTTAGTAGAGTACTGGTCCATGATTTTGTAAAAGAAAAGTGTCAAAATATGACTGGTAGAATTTTTTCTAACCATTCTGCAATCACCAATGAAAACAAAAATCCTGTATTTACTTCTACAATCCAACAGAACATTAAAAATACACCTGTTCAGTTAGTTTTGAATGTATACCACAGAAACAAAGGTCACCCTCCTCAAAAGAAATATGAAAAGTTCAAACCAACAGACAGAAGTTTAAGCATTTAACTTGTGTTCTACTGGGTGAGTTTAAGCATCTCTTTAGGCACTTCACTGGTTCATTAAATGCAATACAAAATAAAGCTATAAATATCAACATTTTGTGCTCTTAAAATTGGTCAATAGCAACAGAAAACAGCACAAAAGTGTGACATTTTTGGCAGCTTATTTCTTCCCTTCCCCAATATTACCGGTTGTCCAAAAATGCTTYGTTTTGGGGATGCTTTGGCGTCTCAGTATCAGGTTGTCTTAAGCCGTAAAAGCTAAAACAAAACTGCTAGGCCTTAGACAATAAAGAAATTTGGTTTTAAAATTTCTTTATGGCTATATAAGAAGGACACTTTAGCAGTGGCATGTCAGGGAAAAAAGCTTGCTTTCTTTTTAAATATTGCACTTTTCTTTTGTTCACTCACACTAATGCATAGAAACTTTTTAACCTTTGAATATTACAATTTCATGCTATGAAAAAGTTATGGGAAATAATTTCTATACATCCAATATGAAAGAACAGATAAGCTAGCCTTCCTTTACTTTCCTTAGTTAAAACATTGATAAAGAAGAGAGTGCAAAAAACCCCACAACCCTCTTTTTGGTCAGCCTGTGTATTAATTTTATAGGTGCCAACTAAACAAATTGCAACACGTGATGAGCATGGATATTGTCAGGACAACTGAGGGTGACTGTCAGTAAAACAAGACAATGCATGATTGAAACACAGTAAGCGTGGCTGAAATGGCAAATCGTGAGGCCTCTTCTCTTTGTGAAGGGGCACGACAAAGCGGATGGATTTCGCACTACAGTAGCATGCTGTAGGATTTATCGAGATCAATTTCACACTGAAGTGTGCTCGATGTTTGCATCCACAYCTTGCATCACCTCCAATTGCTGTAGTAAGACAGTGACTGGCAGCAGTCTCCAGGACACACAGGAGAATCCAGTGGGCGATTCAATGCAGCACAGCCCGCGCGTCTCCGTCACGAGTCACGGCGTGGTGGTACGTTCTCAGGACAGGCAGAACTGATCTTCTGCTGGACTCCACTAATCTGAAAAATGATTGCTTGCAAAAAGAAGTCTCTAAGCACTTCACTCCGGTGCTTAAAGAACAAAGCGCTAGGATTGGATATAACAAAACCAGTTTCAGGATCCTGACYATTGTGCAGAAATCCAGCCGGAAACAATGCAGAGTAGTGCTCCTCAGTGTTACGTTTGTTATCATTAGTAATGTTAAGCATCAAGAAAATAAAACACGTCATTGCACATTACAGCCGCCATGAAGCACGGCTAAACTTTGACACTAGAGAATTGAATAACCTGATGCTACATCACAAACAGCTTCTGGTGTGTATCTATTTCAAAAGGTCTTTACATACTCAGTAAAAGCTCCTGTACTCCTGGCCAGGGAGTGCTTCAGGTCAAGTGACGAGTTATGGCACGAAGGGCATACAGAAGTTCGGCTTGCATCCGAGCCTCCATTAGAAGCAGATTGACATGAACCTGTAAGAAATGACATTGGCCATTCAGCTCATGTCTGAATACAACATGGTTTATTCATTCAGGCTAAAATTTCTAACYTTTACTAAAGTATCGCTGCAAAAAAACTTCGTTTCTTCTCCCTTTATCCTGCTGCAGGACTACAGCTCTGTTGAGAAGCTGTGTAGCCACGCCAATATGGACAACATCCCAGAACTGCCAAGAACTAGCCTCAATCGCTGCTTTAAGCAATCTTCCCTCTGAGAAGTTCCCTCTAAACCTTTTTTTGTATCCTAACAGCATGAGGTTTTTTTCTGAATTATATTTGGTTTTCTTTACTACTATTTGTGACCATGACATAGGAACACCAAATATGGAACAGTTTCCATGCCAGATAGGCTCGCAGGCACACATGCACTGAACCCACTCAGGAAGCATTTAATGTGATATCTGAAGGCATGTTGACATTTTTATTGCTGAAAAAAACCATAAAGATTATATATATATGTGTGTGTGTGTGTGTGTGTGTGTGTGTGCGTGTGTGTGTGTGTGTATATATATGTATGTATATATATTTCTTGATCTCTGTGTCCCCAGTATTGGCACAGTTAACCACTTCTGCATTCTCAAGTTTATCCATTTTTCTTTTACAGTTGTCCATTCATTTTTATGAAGAAATCACTCAAAATAATAATAAGTATTTCCAGCGCACTAGGAAGTATTTTTGTCAAATTGGTATCTAACACTGAACAAATGAATCTCATTMGTTTTTCTCTGATTTAAAACAGCCCACTTAACAGATAGTGCCATTTTAGGAGTCCCCACATTTTAATTTTCAAACAGCACAGGGGTCCCTGTGAAGTCACTCTGGCTTTGGAACGCTTACCTTCTCCGAGTGCTTGAACTGACGCCAGTAGCTATCGTACATGCGCTTGGTAGTTCTCTCTGGGTAGCAGGTCACTGTCTTTATGTAAACCTTCAGGCTGCGTTCAAGTAGCTGATTAACTTCTCCATAATCATAGTCATCATACCTGCACAACATAAGCAATCATTCTGTTTGATGTGAGTGTCTAGAAGCATTGTCTTTTGCAGCATTGTTGTTAGAAGAACTGCAACATTTATCATACATGACCAAAACCCACGTATTAAGGGAGAATCTGAAAGGCTTAGCAGGATCATGGAATTGTTAAGGTTGGAAAAGACCTTTAAGATCATCAAGTCCAGTGGTTAACCCTGAACCATCACCATATTCACCATTAAACCACGTGTCCTATCCACGCATTTTCTGAACACTTCCTAGGGCTGGTGACTCSACCACTTCCCTGGGCAGTCTGTTCCAATGCTTAACACATTKTTCAGTGAAGAAATCTTTTCCTAATATCCAAACTAAACTTCCCCTGGTGCAACTTGAAGCCATTTGTTCTCATCCTGTCCCGTTAACTGGGAGAAGAGGCTGGCTACACCTGGCTACAGCCTCCTCTCAGGTTGTTGTAGACAGTGATATGGTGCCCCCTGAGCCTTCAGACTAAAGATCCCCAGCTCCCTCTGCTACTTCTCTTAGGACTTGTGTTCCAGACCCTCCCCAGCTCTGTTGCCCTTCTCTGGACASGCTCCAGCCCCTCAATGTCTGTCCTGTAGTGAGGGGCCCAGAACTGAACACAGGATTTGCAGTRTGGTCTCTCCAGAGCCGAGTACAAGGGARCAGTCACTGCCCTGGTCCTGCTGGCCACATCGTTGCTGATCCAGGCCAGGATGYCACTGGCCTTCTTGGCCACCTGGGCACAGGCTGGATCATGCTGAGCCACTCTTGACCAGCACCCCCAGGGCCTTTTTCACTGAGCAGCTTCCCAGCCCCTGCCCCTAGCACTGCCTGGGGTTGTTGTGACTCAAGTGCAGGACCTAGCACATGGCATCACTGAACCATCTGTAACTGGCCTTGGCTCATTGATCCAGCGTGTCCAGAGCCCTCTGCAGGGCCTTCCTACCTCCTTCCAGCAAATCAACACTCCTGCCCAACTTGGTGCTRTCTCAACTTGCTTAGGGATGCTGTCTTTCCTGAATGAAGGATACAGGTTCAGAGAAGACACTTCTGTAATAATTTCCATCATGACTCATAATAATTTTCTGCACTGGGAGGAAAAGTCATACTGATATGCCCCTCTAACTTCCAGACAGAGATACTGTCTGCTTTAAACACCCAGAACCTAAAATCATGCTTTTCACATGGTTTATTATTCTGTTTGCATAGTTTTTGAATGTACTCCTAAGCCAGGGAATTTTTGTCCATACCTGATTCCATACATACAGTGGACATAGTTAAATAAAGCTCTTCTTAGCGTAGTTGTATCGACATCTTCATGTGTTGCCATAGTGTTATATGTGAGGTTATACACCATCCGAAACTTCTCATCCAGGAGATGCCCAATATCGGAATAAAGCCTGTTTACAAGGGAAAAGCCATGATTTTCCCAAGTATAGTCCTGCAGGAAGAGAAGGAAATATATAAAAGTACAAATTAAGTGAATTCCCTACGTGATCTTCTCTAAAGCTCAACAGTTTTGGTTGTCTGATAGTTATGACTTTATTCTCTTCCAAAAGCTTGCATTTTGAATTCTTCATCCACATCACCTGCTCCAGAATACTTAGCAATGAATATCACGTTGTGATACCCCACCCCTGGATATCATTAGCCTACAGAATRTAAAACTCCAAGCTTCTCCTGAAGTGCTGAGGGAATCTTCTGCTTTGCCACTCTGACCAGTATCATTCCATGTGGGATTGGCCTGTTAAGTTTAAAAACTTGCTCCTCTTGGAGGCTTTGRTGCCTAGCTCTGAGCAGAGATGGAGCCTTTACTTCCAGCCAGGATGTACAATCATTGGATAAAGTGTTGAAATATYCCTGAAAAAACTGATAAAATCCAGGCTGCTTTGGTCTTAGATGAGCACCTGGATTGCAAAATAAAAGCCTACCTGCTCGTGTGAGGAATGGGAAATCTTTGCAGAGTGGTGGCACAGCAGGAAGAGCCACCCTGCTCCAGAGCAGGGTGCAAGGATGGTCCGTGCTGCCATCACACTGAAGGTGTGAGTGTGCCCACATCCTTGGCAAGTGCTCAGTCATCCCATCACTGATGGCATCTTTGCAATCGAGGGCATCATCTCCACGTCCTTCCTGTGTCTGGCTGTTTTCAAAAGGTACTGCCAGGCCAGGGTCCTCCCTTGGGCACTTTGGAGCATGTCTACTGTCCCGTTCCCCTGAGCAGGACAGCAYGGAAGAGCAGGACAGTGCTCTGTTATCTCACAGAGGCATCAGTGATATCCCAGACATGCCACAACGTCAAGTTTGGCCTCTGGGTGCCAGTACAGAAGAGTGTAGGGCTTGTGAGAAATATGCAATACCCATCCAGCCCTGGAAAGGTATCCAGGACACCTGGGACATCACAAAAGCCTCTGCAAGCCAGAATGCCCAAAGGGGGGAAGTGCTGTTTACTAATAGCAATTGATTCATACTAATAATGAAAAAAATACCAAAACCTAAAACAAGTTTAAACACATTCTGCTGTGTACAGAACACTTTTTTCTATTAATAAATTTAAAACAATAGAGCTAAAGGCAGTTTTATAAGAATAAGGATTAGATTTATTGCAGGTGTTTCAGATGCTACTGCAATTTAAGTATCGTTAATAGCAGAGCATTTGGGAGGCTGCRGGTATATACATGGGTTAAGAGTAGGACATTATAAAGTTAAATTATCAAGGTGACTCCTTTGAATGTAGGCCAGAAGCTGTCCTGTTTGTTTAAGAGTAGAGATGTTTTAGTTCCAATTTCAACTTCTTTGGAGCTTTTTTCCAAGGGAGCCTGCTGCTTCTAAAGTTGTTAGGCAGAATGTTCGATTTATAGGCACTGACTAYGCCTTATTCTTTTTGGCAGCAATAAACTACTTGAGGCTCTTATAAAGACCACAGACTACATTATCTAGTTCAGAAGAGACTGCTGTACAGCTAAATAAATTTTCTGAGGGTTCTTTATTTTACAGTCTTAGATACATCTTCTGACCATGGAGTTTTCCTGCACCCACTGTCATTTTAACTGAAGTTCTCTGATTTGGTTGAAGATTTCTTCCATTGCTTGCAAAGGATGTCAATATATAAGACAATGTGTAGGAAAAATGTATATTCTGTTTTTTCAACAGCACTGAGAAAGATGTATTAAAATATAGCAAAAACTTCAGTRTTCATATTTAGGATGTYTTTKCTTTCCCAGCATTCCAAGTGCTCAMATTTGGTGCACATATGAGCACAATACTCCTCAAATCACTCTCACAGAYCTGTATGTATCCAGATATTGATAACCACTGGACAGAGAGTGCTTGGTAAAATGACAGGAATAAAGAGTTACTCCCATGGATGTTTTTTCTACAGCATCTGGAGAGATGGGAAAGAAATTCTTTCTTTTCCACCTTTCATTTTATTTTTATGCTTTACATTTCCAAGCATAAATACAGGTAATAACTGAATTAAGATGGTTATTTGAATGGTTACAAGTATTACCTTGCCAGAGACTGACAAAYAGTAAAAGACTCCATTTCAAGAAGATTTAGGAAAGCTGGAGTTACTTGATGGACCAGGACAAGAAAAGGATCACGCAACAAACATGCCCCACTACGACTGCTTTATGCCCTGTAGTGAGATATATAAACATTCTCTGAGTGACTGTGCTTTTAAGAGGTGGTACCTGAGCTCTGAATGTTGGCAGATGGTCTTCTCCTCGCCTTGCAAAGTCTTTGTACCCAAACCCAGGATCTTCAATGTAGCGGGAGACATCTGTAGAAACTATTTCATCATCAAATGCTGGGAACAAAACAGCAAAATACTTTGCTTTAGGCAAGAATGTGAGTTAATGCTGACTTCCAACTACCACTCTACTACAGGAATAGAGGACAATTTTAGAAGTTTGCAAAGGAGAAGAGTGGTACAAGGGAAAGAAACACTTCAATTCTCATCTTCTTGCATGGGATACATTGCTTCCAATGAGCTCGTTAAATGTCAGCCTATACCAGACATCTAATATACTTCTACAAAAAGGGAAGAGATGGCCTACACTTCTGTCTGGAGGTTTGCATTTCTCTCTGTTGTTTCTGAGGGAGGCTAGGTATCTTAAGTCAGGAAGATGAACATCATCAGCAAAGTCAATGTGTTAGCATAAGAAATAAAAAAAAAAGGATCTTTGACAGCAGGATTATTGTACTGAGCAGACTTTGTGTCAGAAATCACTCCGGCTCTGTTCTGCAAGCAGAACTGTGAGCACCAGAAAGCAATGCAACACTCCTCTTGTAAATATCACCTGAAGATTATGTGAAAGCAAAGAGCTCTACAGTACATCARGGTGAAATTCTGCCAGAAGCTCTAGTAACTAAGCATCTTCAAAGAGCTCCAAAACRTATCACTAAGCAAGCACAGGTTCTSTATCAGGAATCMATCTTTCCCTCCTGAATAAACAGGTGGCTTGATTGTGTAACTACCTCTGCAGAAGTTGACTACTGCATAGCTGACTGCATTTGACCCTGATGTTAAAATCATGGCTCGCTTCCACGTGCATYGACAGAACAGTTGCCATATGTCCACTGTTAGCACCTTGAAAAGTCAGTTAATCTAAGAATTGCAGAAGTGCTTTATCTCCTCTTTGCYTCATTAAACAATCAAAACAGAACTGTGTAGGAAGAAGCTTGGACAACATCTGCTCCAGTAAATCCTCAGTGAAGAATAAAAAACCTGTACACATACACTCATCTCCCCTTGACATGGACTGGATTTCGTGAAAGGGTAAAGCCCAATGAACACTGACTCCTCAACTCAAACCAGCAAATGGTAAAGAGGGAAGAAAGTCAACAAAAATATCAGCAATCCCATCCAAAAACCCCTCCTGTCTGGAATGACACCTTTTCCTCAAACACCTGAAATTTCASAGACTCATGGAAGTCCTGATTTGATAATGAAACTGCAATGGATGTCCATTTATCTRCACTGCTGATACTGCCTGACCAAAGGAAAATAGAGCAAGAATGCAAAATGTCCATTTCAAAATGTCCAGCTTGATGTTGCTGGATGTATCTTCTTTCAAAGATTTTTCCATGTTCCTAGAGAGCCACAAAACAATCTCTCTGCTGAATCTCAGAATATTCTTCCTCCCTTTTGGGCTCTTTGCACAAAACCATTGATTCTCTCAAACACTTTTGGTCTGAAGCTACCAAGATCTAAATTCACTAAGAGCAGTGCAGTAAAATTTGAAGCGTTTTAGGAGTCACTTCTCAAAAAGATATAATCATCTTCAGGTAGTTTCTACTATAAGGAAATAGTTAAAAATTCTGACTGTCTTAATAATATTTTTCCTTCTAACACTTTCTTAGGGAAAAACCCACCTTCCTGTCTGTATGAAACAGGCTTCATTCTGTGGTTAGCTGGAGATGAAGGCCTCCAAAACATATGAAGAATATGGGAAAAGAAAGTTTCAGCTCAAAATTTGGAAAATTATTGAAGAATAAAAAATGCTATGACTCTCTATCACAATACAGGCAGTGGAACAGCACAGCAGTATGATCACTCAGAACAGCAACTTGGAAATATCCTTTCCAGGTGGGCAGTAAACATTGAAGTAGCTGAGTCTCCTTGCAATCTAATTCCTAAACTAAATGTCATATTTGAAGGTGACTTACGAATGTTATTGAAGTTCTAAGCACCACAGAACCTAAACTTGTGAAATATTACTAAATATTTACATAAATTGAAGATACTGAACAGATAAAGAAAGAGAAATGTAGACCCTACTTTTTAAGGAAACCTACAGGCCTTTTTTTTTTATGCAAAAGCTAAATTTCAAGTAGTAAAAAGGATGAWGTCCTTTGTCAATCAAAAAATCTTTAGATGATGAGGCAGGAGGTAAGAACACCCTTACTACACTCCTCCTATATGAAGAGAGAGAAAGACAGAAAACGTTTCAGTCACTTAACTAGCCTCAAGTATTTATTTCTTACAAAACTCAAATGAAATTGAACTGGAAAGGCACAAATACCTCCACTAATTACTAGCAGACTCTCCTTCTTCTCCTTCTCAAAGCGAGTTGCCATTTCTTCCTGAGAGGCTTCTTCATCCTCTTTATCTTCTTGTAGTCTCTTCATCCTTTCCATCAGGGCCTCCAGCTCACTTAAAGAATCTGCAATCTGCAAAAACACCATGACATTCTGCAAAATTACAAGATAGACAACGAGTGCCATCTTCAGATTTCATGCTTGACAACAAACGTTCTCAAAAACAGACAGCAGCAGCAAACACAAAAATTCAAGCCAGAATGAATTTTGTCACTTACAGCACAGACAAACAGCTTTCAGACAAGAAGGCAGGAGCTGGGAAGTGCAGTAATTTACTGCAGTGGGATTAACAGCAAAGAGGTGGTGTTTGAGTGTGGAAACCACAGTCACTCATATTSTACCATGTAGATACCTCAGGAAAATTCATCTGCGTACCCTACACCTCTCGCAACACAATTTTTCATACTAAAGTAACTATATTCAGTTGATGGGTAATGCAAAATATGTTTCTGTAAAGATACAGTGCAACACTGCCTTACAGAAACACAACCTGAGATGACAAATCAGTGCTTTTCTTTCATTACGTGTGATCAAAATAGCCACTCTGTTGACCATTTTTCTTGTTTTTATAAGAAAAACAGACCCCTTTTTACTGGAAATGCATTAAAGCTTGGGGTGCCCTGTAGCTATCATTCAGATTTTTTATAAGATAGATACTTTGGTATTCCTTTCCATCTTTCTGAGTATGTTCTTTTGCCCATAGTTATAGTTGTTTCTAGCAGACTCTTCACTGCTTAGCAAGAAGTGCAGTCAGCAGCAATCCTCTGCCCACTACAAATGGGGAGTAAGGCACTTCTGTGGCAAGAGCTGGCATGTCTTACAGTTCAGAAATTCAAGATACAGCAATTGAACTRAGTGATGACATGTTTACATTCTGCTGATAGTTATAAAAATTGTATCTAGCAACTGCTCATAATCCTGATCTTCCATCAAAGGCAATGAGGCTAGTTCATCTGTCAGCATTTATTCAAGGGCAWGTCTTCAAAAGCATTATAGAGCACTTTTCAGGAAAAAATGCCCAGTTAATTAACCAATGATCAAATTAATTATGTTAATTAACTAGTAATCAAAGTTCTCTGYTGATTCAAGACTGGAACACCAGCATGAAAAATTAAGTAATTTTATTTCAGAYATTTCCTCCCATCTATATGGATAGATGTTCAAACTGTTTTGTGACTGTAGGCCTTGAAGTAAAAATTATTATTGTTATTAYTACTACTTCTATCTTTCCAYTGCTTTTTTTCATGCCCTRTGTTAGGAACATGAATGGCACAATGCTCCAGTCAATGCCACACTGTCTGAAGAAASTGGGATTTTAAGCTTTCTGCTGAAAGCAGTTTTAGTCCTGCCCAATGGGTGGTGAGATTAACCGTGAAAATCACATTGCTCTGACTACCATGCACTGTTATGACGTGGTTTTCAACAGATTGCTCTGGATGTGTCCAGGCTGTATGTAAGAATTACCAGACTCAAGCATTCCTGTAAAGTAGACAAAAAAATTTCAAACTACCCAAAATTCAAACAGGAAAGAATGGAAGAAAGTTTTCTAATGCAAAACAGAGGCAAGCAAAAGAATTTTCTTGCAACACTAACCCCAAAGTTGCTACTTGTGAGGGATGCATTTTCTATGTTGTTGTCATTGGCAAGATCACAGACACAGAAGTTGTTGACTGCTATAAGTCTGACTCCATTAGATGTATCCGGATCTCTCTCTGGATTAATGCCACTACCAAATACAAAACTTGCCAAGGCATGATAATGTGCCAACAGGACAACAGCATGCACCAGTTCAGGAAGAGACCAATTATTTTCCCCAGTCTTGACAAGTTTCTGAAACGAGAATAAAAAAAGTGTAAATACAAAATTTTTTTGGCCCACAATTTTTCTATAAAACACTACGCATTTTCAAAAGGGATCGATTCTTTCTTCCAATAATACCATATTCCCCTTGCACACAAACTCTCACTGGATAAAAAAAGAGACACCTAATATATTACTTCATTTCTTTTGGGCTATTTTAGCCAATGCTATTGCTCAAAAGAAAATCTTGCTGGCTTTGCCACACGGAGGAATCAGCTTGTTTGGTGCACTAGTACTTCCCTGAACTTTTAAACTCAGGATGATGAAGCCTAACCAGGCATTTGCACAGTTCTTGTCAGTTCTTTTTACCAGACATTTACTGCTATTTGCAGGGCATGACTGAAGAGGTACCTGGATGTGCTCTTTTGTGATCAGCCAGGGCCGGTGTGCAAGAAGTTTGTTTATTTCGTTCAGATTTTTCAGTCTTTGGGGAATGTATTCTAAACCATTCAACCACTCTGCAATCCCGCCAGTCTTCAGGAACTCATCAACGTGCATATTTATTAGGTAGGAACACTGATGTCTGGCAGCAGCCTGGGATAATTAAACACAGAGTGAACAGTGCAGCACATTAGTGTGTAATCTGATTTTGCTGTGGGTGAAAGACAGGTTAATAACACAAAACAAAAGTACAATGTCATTCTAAAGGGCCTTATGCAAATGCATTGCAATGCATTTCTAGACAGTATGGAGGATTCTCCAATAAAAATACATTTGATTACTCTGAATTGTGGAATATAATTTAGGTTGTAAGTTGGATCASTACAGAAGAACTCTCTGCCCACGGAGCTGACTTAGATCTTATTGCTYGAAGCCTTGTTCAGACAAGATCTTCACCCTTGCAGATCACAGAACCCTTCTTGGTTCCTGCTGCAATGTCTCAGCATCCTCACAGTGACAATTTTTAGTGCCTACGTGGAATTTCTTTTGACTCGAGTCCACTGCATCTCATCCTACCACTGCACAGGGATGTGGGCATGTGAGAGGTGGATCACTGTGGGAAAYAGTGAATGATGCAGGTTGCCAATTCTCCCTTCTCACTGAAAACCTTCAGGCCAGGCATGCTTTATTCTGATAAAAATCTACTACAACAATTTAGCCCCTGTCAAAATACCATGCTAATTTCCCCTGTCTAAATTCTTCTTTTTCACTTTTTTTATTTAAATCCAGAAGTCAGGATTGCAGGAGAAGCTCCACAGGCTGTGGGTACATACCATGATAGCAATGTAGTGCCTGTAGGGCAAAGGAAGGGGCCCATCCATGCGCAGCATATAGAACTGGCTGCGGAGGAAAGATTCCAGGTATTGAGTATGGATACTCATGACCTGTGTGATGTTGTCCAGGCGACCAGATGTAGAATATTCTTCCACAAGAAGATTAGTACGCTCATCCAAACCATTTGCTTGCATAACCTTGAAAACAAGATGGAGAAACATTAACAGAGGAAGAGATTTCCTCTAGCTTTAGCCCTAGGGAGAAACACTGTTGGTATGAAAGTTTGGTATGAAAGGTTTATCTGTGTACAGACCTAAAGACAATGATGGAGCTCTGGATGTATATTTGTAAACATACATGCCTGCCTGCTTGCAAATACACACAGTATCCTACTTGTACTGAGAACTGAAGAGCACTTTACACTGAGCCTCTGCAATTTTTGTATTTTTTATATGTTTCTGTAAAACTCAAATCCATTTTTCTGTACATCTTTTCAAAACAGTGGGAGTTGCAGATGCTGAAAGTCAAATCTGTACAGAGAGCTGTAAGTAAGYAAGAGCTAAATGGAAAGTAAATTCTTTATGGAGGACAGCCTGTATAGACACACACCACCTGAGTGTTCAGCCCTAAAATCAATTTCAAAATTAATGGAGAGGAACTGGATTATGTAACCAAATTATAGAAACAGCCTGGTAATCAACCCCTTCTGTGCTTTTATAATTGAAGAGGAGATCAAATGCTAATTTGTCCATAACATTCAGGTATTATTTAGAATGTGAATTTAATGCTTTCTTTAAACAAAAGCTGTTCTTTAATTATTCCAACCAATCCAAACCTTGGGCATGAGATGAAATGAAACAGCAAAAGACTAAGTAGCTCTTGCATTGCAAGCCCTGACACACTGTGAGTGCTATTACTCAGTGTTTATCACCAGGAACAGCCATTCTCAACATGTTCACCACTGAAATGACAAGCACAAGACTAGAATATCCAGTATTTATTCTGACACTGTGCAGTAATAAACCAGCTGGCTTACTATTGCAAACACCATGAAATGAGAACATATTTTAGCTGTTTTACAGCACATGAAGCCAGAAAGTGCCTAAAACCAAAAAGCACAATGATTTTGCTAAAATATTTGATTTAAAATATGTTTTCTTCTTTATGATAGGCTGATGAGTGGACCATGTCTCAAATATTTTTTATCATATCTTACACAGAAGTTACATACAAAGAAACACAAACAACATACTACATTTCCACTTCTCATTGTTGTACTTTCCTGTTTTAATTTGTGGCCCAGGAAGAAAGGGAAGAAGCAGCTACAGTTAGGTAGCTCCATAATTTTTACAAGTTATCTTCAGCTTTTTTGTGTTTTGCACCCAAAATGATGCCTTCTCAGTTTTCCTTAATAAAGTTTTTACCATCAGWATTTTATTCACATGTTAGAGACAATTTTATCTCCCTGTATATACCTCACTCCACTCCTAGGAGTCCCCCTCATTCTTCAGCAAGTGTATCTCCCATATATTTAAGAGATTCTTGTCTCATTTCTTGAGGAAATTTAGTGGTTTCTTGGGAAAATATTTTTTGTSTCTCTGGTAAGGTTTCTAATCTTCTCCTGCTTGTCAGGAATTCTCCTTGTAACAGTGCAAGTTATGGAAAGAAATTCTGCTGACAGAATCAAAATATAATCCTGTAGGACTGTGCTGTTGCTATGTTAGGCATAGCAATATGCCATATGATTACTTCTAAAATTTATCTCCATCTCTGTTACTATCCTCTTCATACTSTGCATGTACTTCCTCCTGATTTATTATCATCCACAAACATACTTTAAAAATATTCTGCTTTTAAAGCCTTGTGGCATGTTAATARGAACCTTTACAATTAAGCCATTATTTCCCTGCCCATATTCCTTCCATTACAACAATATGGCAGCCTTTTGCACCACTAGTGTTATAAATCAAGATCTGTGAGACAGTGTATTACCATTCTGTTACTAAACCCTCCCTAGTCACTATTTCATGACAAGGAATGAAGGAGAAAGGTAGTAGTTTGCTTAACAAACCACAGTTGGCATTTACCATGGCAAGAACCTCCAGTCTGAAATCCAACCATACCTTTCAACCATAAATTCTCTCAAGAGCCACAGGCTAAGGAATTAAGTAATTTTTGCCAGCTCTCTCAAACGGAAGGTCAGGCACTGCTCTGAGAGCTACACAATCATCCTGCTGCAATACTGGACAGGCCTCCCCTCKGGTCTGGCATTATGAGTAATGTGTTCACACACACCAGAGAAGCGCAGAGCTGTTACTCATGGCTATCTACAGGAATGCTGGTGACTGAAAAGATGTCACCACTGTGACATGTCAAACAGTACCACTTGTGTGAAAGGATGAGGTGGTTCTTACCCACTGGAACCTGCTCCAGAGAAACCATCGCTTTTCCTTTCAAAGGAGCTTATCCTGGTACCATGGAACAAGCAGGGTCAYAGAACTGTCCTTCAATGTCATCACTTTAAAAGCTAACACACAGCCCAGCAAACTGCTAACTTACTTCATTCTCTGGTATAAAGGCACTTGGTCCTCTTGTCAACGGTGGGGAAACTTGCACTCGCTTTTCCTGCAAAACAGTCACATAGTTCAGTGTAAGGAATTACTCATCCCACAAAATGAGACCTTCACGGTCTGCATTCAGTTCTCTTCTCAAAGCCTGGGTGTTTTATAGTCCACTGAGGAGGTGATGGCACTGTATCACATTAAATCAGCTTTGCATCCCCTGTACTAGGAACGAAGGAATAGCACAAATTCTGGCAAGGAACAGCACCAATTTAGGACAGAGGTAAGGCAGAAACAAACCCCAAAAAGATAATCCCGATTGATTTACAGTCCAGTTTGAAGATACACAGATAATAGCAACAAAACATTTGGCATGACGCTAAAATTAGCCATTTAMTAGACTGAATGGAAGGTTTAAAACAGAGCGGGGAAAAAAGCCACACTYGGGAAATTATAACCAAGATGCTGTTTTCTTCCAGTATCAGCATCTGATGAGATCTTTAGTGTTGTGAAGAGTGTAAGCACTTWGTGTGCCAACTATTGGCATGAAAAGCACAGTCCAAGCAAAGTAGCAAGTCCCAATTACAGGCATTTTCTAGAATCCTGATGCAATGGCCACTTTACTCAGTGCTGAGCCCAGAGCACACTGCACACACCACAAGCTTGGTGTGCAAACCCCAGCCACAAGGCAGGAGGATATATTTAGTACAGAACAAGCTGATAGCGCAACAAGAGCCAGAGGACTTTTTTTTTTATTTATTAGGGATAAGAAACTGGACTAAGATAAACTGTGTTGCCAGCCATAGGAYTGGAGGGGACCTGGGGAAGCTGCCTGCTCCTCCGACTCATCAAGGGCAGGACCAGCACTGCCCACGTCATTCCTGACCACTGCTGGTCCAATCCTCCTGCAGGTTCCTTCRTCTCCATGGGTCATTTATTTCAGTGACTAACTCCTCACATTGTTAAAGTTTTCCTAATGTCTAACCTGAATTTCCCTTGTAATAATTTAAAGCAGTTGCTTCTTGTCTTTTCTTCTTTTCCTCTTTATGGTTATTTTCCACCTATCTGGGTGGCTGCACACTTGTCTCAAAGTCCCTAATTGCAACCACAGCGYTGGTGACTCTTAATATGTTATCCATAAACAGCAGTATTGGATTTGCATACTAAGTATTTCATGCCCCTGACATAAAAGTCTGAAGTTTTCCATAACAAATGATCCTTAAATACCTCTACCAGGGGGCTTTAAGCTTAACTGCTGTGTGCACAAACAGCAGTGCCAGTCACATAATGGATGTGCCACTGATTTCCACACAGGAAAATTAAGCCACTGAGCTGCGTAACTATTGTCCCGATTCTTAAAAACATCCTGTCCYTTCTAAATTAGATTAAGAAATAACATGCAAAAATCAGCAATGATTATTCAGGAAAGATGTTCCAAAGCAAACTCTAGCAGGACAATTGAATTTGTGACTTCGGAACAATTAGCTGCTAAAAGATGCAGAAWTAAGCTAGATGAACCACATGAAGCCCAGCAGCCAGGACACAACCTACTCCATTTGCTGCCTATTGTCACAGTCCCAAAAATCCTGTAAAATACTTCTCATGTATAAAAAGTACCCAATCAAAAGTAAGAAGAAATGGTATCTGCAGATGCAACTCCTCCCTAACACAGCTACACAAGGCACAGAAAGACATCTTCTGCCTTCAAATACACAGTCTTGCCAACAGTCAGTCATTCATTCCTGCCAACATTAAAAAAATGTTTTCCAAGTTTGGATCCAAGCTTGGATTTTACTTGTTTTATGAAGGTTATCTGGAAATTAAGTTTAGAACCTTGATTTCACACTGAATAATCAGGAGGAAGCAGCTTGTGTGAGTGACAGAACTTGGATAGCTGAACACTGTTAGCTCACGCTGGAGCACAGGTCTAAAACCAGAGCTGAACCTTCTCCATCCTGCTCTCTGATCTGTACTTTCTTCACGTTCTTCAAAGCTGGTCCTTGAGGTGAGACCATGGCAAAAAAAGTCCCTGTGTTGCTTCCATTCCAGGGGCTCCATTCCCCTGTTTTCCCATTCTGTGACTGCAATGACTCCTTTGAGCCTGCAGATAAGCTACTGCTGAGGAAAGGAGGAAACGGGACTTGGGTGAACGAATATAGGCAAGTATCAACAATTAATTTCTGTGAATAATGACAGAAAGCCAAGGAGATAGTCAGACATGAAAAATGTGTGTTAAATCTACTACAAAAAGAACAAAGTCCAGCTCCTTTTGGGTGGTGGCAGTTCTAAAAATAAAACAAGCCTGGAAAAAARAAAAAAGGACAAACAACTAAAACAAGAACAAAACCCAAAAAGCCGAAACATGATCATTCAAGTTGATGAGACTTATCCCTGCACACTTCCAGGGAACTGGTATTTTTTTATATTAGAAGTGCATACTCTTCCCTTCCATCAACAAGAAAGATTATTTTCCCTTCCTGCCAAAGCTTTTATTTTATTAAAACTGGTTAAAACAAGCTTGTGAGGAGAAAAGGAGCAAACATCATCTGGTTGCACAAGTTCTCAGGATGCTATTAATAAAAACATGTGAAGTTTACAAGCATTGAGAAAGATAATGTTGGCTTTGTTGAGCTACAGATAAGAACCATTGCTTCTGGGCATGCTTTATCTAGAGCAGTGATTTAAGGTCTACCCAAGAACCCAAACATAAAAAAYAGTGCATGGGAATTAGAAAGCAACACTGCAGATATATGATCCTTTACGGTGTAAGTTCTTGCAAAGCATCTTGTTTTTCAATAAAGCCATTTTGTTTTCCTGTCCAAGTAGGCCTTGCAGGTTACTCTAGCTATCACTTAAGTCAGTCAGGGTCCCAAGTATCTTATTTGAGATAGGATTTTTWTGCTAAGAGGCTGAAGCAAGAAACAGGTTGCTCAGCAACTAAAATGCTGTACGCACATCTACCAGTCATTTTCTCCTCCAGAAACACATTGCCAGGGTATGAAAAATTTCCATTTATATTAAGACTAGGGCCTTTYTGAGGGCTGTTTCCTCAGAAGGAATGAGATGATGAAGGGCTTCAAAGCAGAAAAAGGTGCACCAGAGCATGTTCCTGAGAGAGGGGCTGCTGCAAGCCAGAGCCTCGGAGCAGGTTTATTAGCAACACACTGCGGCATCAGACAGAACGAGACCTCTGCAGAGCAYGGGAGAGCTGACGCAGGAATCCATGAAAAATCCTACCTAAGCTCCACCTGTGACTTCTTTCTGTCCTCAAACTGCACTTGCATAGTGTCAGGAGCTTCATCAGGAATTTGAATGGTGACAAAGTAGAAGCATTTCCCCTTTACTCACCTATAAACTGCAGGATAGACCTTCATCCTTGGGCGAGCTCTGTGCAAACCCACAGACACAAATCTGCAATTTGCTATCTCACGGGTTTATTTTCAGTTGTGGCAGGGACTGCATACCATTCCYTCCAGAACCAAGATGGGCACTGGGATGTGGCACCTGCATCTCAAAGTRCTGCCCGGCTGCTGTGGCAGAGCAAGGATTGCCAGAGCCCCTGGGGTTGGTGACACAGCCATGAAGTCCAAGTGGGAGAAAACATGAGCCCAGCTGGCTCTGGCATAGCACAGCGGCTTTCCTCACAAAGCCTAAAGCAAAAGAAATAACCTTTCTTCCTCTTCACCACCACATGAATCACCATGGCCTCAGGCTTTAAAGAAATGGCTATTTTTAGCAAGCTATGAAAGGAGGCTGTTTTGTTTGAGAATGGAAGCRCTAGCTGGTGGGGCTGATCAAACAGCTGCTTTAGGAAGCACTTCTGAATATCTGTGCATGCAGAAGAACACAGGTAAGGAGCAAGGGGTTGCACTGCTACAGGTGCATGGGGGCTTCTTACACACGTGGTRTATAAAATCTAATTCATCCTGCACTGGACATTGAGGTGATCATACTTCAATGGGGTGGGGGAAAAATCACAGGGGAGAAACATACAAAAGGGAATTTTGTGAGCCATGGCAACACTGCCACTTGTGTCCCTGCAAACTCCCAGAGCAGTGCAGGTTCCTGGGAAACACTCATGAAGGGTCTCAGAGCCTCCACTCGCACAACACCTGCCACCAGTGTCAAGACATCAGRATAATAAACAGCACCAGATCAACTATGAATCCGAAGGGCATCCCAAAATTAGCTTCCCCTGAGGAACAACCCCTTTTTCCTAACAAGCAGAAATGTTTTTTGGGGGGAAGGTAATGAGTATACTTATTATTTTTTACACTTCTTTTTTGTATTATTCTACAAGCAATTTTGCTACCATCTAGCATTTATAAGAATCTTTGTTATTTAAATTCAGTGGTCTATCTCTTTAAAATACACATTATCATCTGCAGTAATAATCTCAGTCAAGTCTGTCACTGGGTGGGAGTGGAGAACTGGATTTAGGATTCCCTGTCTGGGGCTGAATCTTCCCAAAGGAATCCTTTTTCCCCAGTCTCAGCATTATCTTACAGTTCTTCAAAYTCAAAATACACTAGTCCAATCTCACAGACTTAATGTTATGGAGCCCACGTCTGGTCTTCAGCTGACAGACACAAATGCCTTGAATTTTAGTTCACATTACAAGCAGCATTATTTGCTGCTGCTGCTGTTCAAAACCCTACCTACAGTCTGGTTTCTCCTACTCCCACTGTTGCTTACTGAACACATTTTCACTTTTGCTTCTTGGATCTTGGAACAGGCTCTACCTCCACTGGCTCTAATCAGAGACAAATGCTCTGAGTTTCAGTAAATTGTAACACAAGTTTAGTCATACAGTCATACTGGACCATCTGCTTATTTCATCCTCGCTGAAAACAGAAGAAAGCATTAAAAAAAAAAGTTATCTGAACACTGGCTGTGTATTAGCATCTACTTTTATTCAAAYTCTTCCTTAGGATGCAGAAGGGATTTTGTTTATTTCTGTGCATGCCAAGTTGCATTTTAATTTAGCCAYCCAACTTTGGCAGAGGAAGAGCAGTTTAGAAATGTGGCAGAAGTTTAGGATGCATCCAGCTCATTTCAGATGAT